GAGACAGCAGTGTACCCAGGCAGCCAAGAAGGCCAACAGCATCTTGGCTTGTATGTGGAATAGTGTAACCAGCAGGATCAGGGAGGTGATCGTCCTCCTGTACTCAGCTCTGGTGAGGCCACACCTCGAGTACTGTGTTCGGTTTTGGGTCCCTCACTACAAGAAGGACATCGAGGCCATGGAACATGTCCAGAGAAGGGCTACGAAGCTGGTGAAGGGCCTGGAACACAAGTCCTGTGAAGAACGGCAGAGGGAATTGGGATTGTTTAGTCTGGAGAAGAGGAGGCTCAGGGGAGTCCTCGTTGCTCTCTATGGGTACCTCAAAGGAAGGTGTGGGAGCTGGGTGTCAGCCTCTTCTCACAGATAACTAGAAACAGGACAAGAGGGAATGAGCTCAAGTTGCACTAGGGGAGTTTTAGGTTGGAATTTAGAAGACATTTCTTTCAGGGGGATGGTTGGACCAGATGATTGTGGAGGTCTTTTCCAACATTAATGATTCTATGATTCCATGAAAAAACACATCTGTTTTTATATACAATTACCATTCTTAAAAAAATTCTGTGAATTCCATAAAACTCAAAATGCAATGCATGTAGATTTTCTAATCTACTAAGGAAACAGGAAATCTAAACTAAAAGTGATTATACTGCAAATAGCAGTTACAGCAGCTTTACTATTTATTTTATCCTTACTCATTAGGCAACCTTTTTTTTGTAGATGTAGGTGAGGAAAAGTGGTATATTGTATTTCCCTTTCTACTTGCAAAAGAAGCATAATTATTTATATTATACTGCTGTCTACCTCTCCTTTTGCTTGATACGCTGTCTCTCCATGGAACTGATCGAATTTGACGGATGCATCCATGTGTTGTTCAACTCCTCCTTGCTATAGCAGCTGCCTGGTGTAACATTTTGATGTTTTGTACAGATAATCTTTGGATATAGTTGTATATCCAAATATAGATCTGTATTTAGGATTGTGGCCTACCGTAGGGTTATGAAAAGTAAACCTATGTGTAGTTAGGTTAGAGTCACAGAGAAGACTGTAATAATGAAGGTCTCTACTCCATCTGCAGGGAGAATTGACATTAGTTGACTCCACTGTCAGTGTAGACATCAGAGGATCACAGAATTGTCTAGGTTGGAAGAGACCTCCAAGATCATGTAGTCCGACCTCTGACCTTACACTAACCAGTCCTCCACTAAACCATATCACTAAGCTCTACATCTAAACTTCTTTTAAAGACTGCAGGGATGGTGACTCAACCACTTCCCTGGGCAGCCCGTTCCAATGCCTAACAACCTTTTCAGTAAAGAACTTCTTCCTAATATCCAACCTAAAATGTTGTATATAGTATCAGTGCAAATCTCTGCAGTGTCTCAGAACTTCCAGGATAGGCTTGTATGTTTTCTTATACATATGTAAATAAAATTTCTAAAATTGCACTGGTTTAAAGGCTGAAAATTGTGATCCCATGGAGAACGTTGTAAACAACATAAGGAAGCTGGTCCATTATGGCAAATTGAAATACACAGTCGTCATATGTAACCTCAAGCTCTGATGGTCAATTAAGTTGAAATTAAACACTAGCATGTGTTACATTAGTAATTCTAATCTTGCTGAAAGTGTTGACTGCTGTTCTCTTTTAGGCATTTTAAAAATAGAGGTGATTTTCTCTAACAAGTACTCCATAGAGAATCTCTCTATGATTCTTAACTGAAACCAATAAAATTTAACTCTTTTAATTAACACCAGTGAACTTTGATTTGTGGCAAGTATCTGATTCAATATTTGCATGTGTTTGTCTTCTGTTGTGTCATTCTTTTAAATAAATGTGAAGTAACAGATTTGTCATCTGCGCAGTCAAGTGAAGAACAACAGAGATTATCTAGCTAACAAAATTAATCATTTATTTTTTTCACCATTGAGTTACTGGAAAAAAAGTTTGTGCATGTGCCCTGATAATTAAATATAATATCTGAAGATAAGTCTACAAGAAAAGTTAGTTACACATTATTTAGTATAACCATGATGTGAATTTCACTGCTTCTTCGACAGGTGTTTTCCATTAGAATGCGTCTCCTCTATTCAGAACAATTTTAAGTAAATTCATAAGGAAATACCTCTTTACATGTTTATCCTGGAAAGGCAGATAGGTGTTTTATTTTATAAAACAGTCCAAAAGTTTTCTATTCTATTCTTCAAATGTAAAAATATTTTCCAGAACATATTATTGCAGTTCAGTAATGTATTTCTAAGTGCCCTTGGAGACACTTAAAATTAGAAAGGAATAAAATTAATGAAACTGAAATTGCAGGTTTTTGGTAATGCTGGTGAAAGGGGTGTTTGCCTTCATAAGTGTTTGTGTAGAAGTGTTATGTTCTATGCATACATTTTTATTCATATAAATAAACGTTACACTTTATTGTTTGTGATTTTGTAAAATATTGTGTTGTGTTGATACTATACTTTCATTTTAAGGTTATAATCATCTCTTAAATGACATGTAATAAAATACACTGATTTGCTATTAATTATCTTTTGAGAAATACACAGCATCAGTAATTTCCAGTAATGCTTTTTAACTCTGGAAAACAGCTTAGTTCTTATAGACAAAATGTACGTATTTCAGTTGCTTTACTTGGTTTAGTGAAAAGCAGATAAACGGATTGTGTTTAGAAACAGTGACAGACTATTCAGCTACATATAGACTACTGAACCACTTTATTTCAGTATTCATTCTCTCTCTGAAACCTGTTTCAGATTACAAGAAAACTAGAAGCAGCATTCACATATGCTGTCATCCCCTGGCTTTCAAAGTGCATGGTATCATGAATGGCTAAAAAAAAATACATTTGCTTTCTGCTATATGTATATATGAGAGGTGTAGGACAAACATAATTTAAATTTTGCAGCTGTTTAAATGAACTGTTTCAATCATAGAATCATAGAATGGCTTGGGTTGGAAGAGACCTCAAAGACCATCCAGTTTCAACCCCACTGCCATAGGGAGGGATGCCACCCACTAGATCAGGTAGCTCAGGGCCTCATTCAGCCTGGCCTTGAACACCTCCAGGGATGGGCCATCCACAACTTCTCTGGGCACCCTGTTCCTGTGTCTCACCACCCTCTGAGTAAAGAGCTTCTTCCTAATATCCAATCTAAATCTCCTCTTTTTCAGTTTAAAACCATCCCCCCTATCATTATCTACACAAGTAAAGAGTCCCTCTCCATTCTTTTTATAAGAACCCTTTAAGTATTGAAAGGCTTCAGTGAGGCCTCCCCAGATCTGTCTCTTCTCCAGGCTGAACATCCTCAGCTCTTACAGCTTCTCTTCATAGGAGAGATGCTCCAGTCCTATGATCATCTTTGTATCCCTTCTCTGGACTTGCTCTAACAGGTCCACTTCTTTCTTGTACTGGGGGCCCCACAACTAGATGCAGTTCTCCAAGTGGGGCCTCTCAAGGGCAGAGTAGAGGGGGATGATCACCTCCCTTGACCTGCTGGCCACCCCTCTGTTGATGCAGTCCAGAACACAGTTGGCCTTCTGGGCTACAAGTGCACACTGCTGGCTCTTGTCGAGCTTCTCATCTACCAGAACCTCCAAATCCCTCTCTGCAGGGCTGCTGTCAGTAGGTTGTTCTCCCAGTCTGTACTCATACCTGGGATTGCCCCATACCAGGTGCAGCACCTTGTATTTGGACTTGTTGAATCTCATTCAGTTCATGTGGGCCCACTTCTCCAGCTTGTCCATGTCCCTTTGGATGGCATCCCTTCCTTCTGTTGTATTAGCTGCACCACTCAGCTTGGTGTCGTCTGCAAACTTGCTGAGGGTGCACTCAATCCCATCATCTATGTCATTGATGAAGATATTGAAAAGCACTGGTCCCAAGACAGACCCCTGAGGGACACTGCTTGTCACTGGCCTTCACCTGGACATAGAGCTATTGACCACTACTCTCTGGGTGCAACCTTCAACCTTATCCACCAAATGGTCCACCCTTCAAATCCATATCTCTCCAATTTAGTAATCAGGATGTCATGTGGGACTGCGTCAAAAGCCTTACAGAAGTCCACATAAATGACATCAGTCAGTCTTCCCTTGTCAATTGATCCAGTCACTCAATCATAGAAGGCCACCAGATTGGTCACGCGTGATTTACCCTTGTAGAAGCAATACTGGCTGTCTCAGATCACCTCCTGGTCTTGAATGTGCTTTAACATTGCTTCCAGGAGGATCTGTTCCATGATCTTGCCAGGAACAGAGGTGAAACTCACTGGTCTGTAGTTCTCTGTTTCTTCCTTTCCACCCTTTTTAAAAATGGGAGTGCTGTTTCCCTTTTTTCAATCACTGGGGACTTCCATCTGACTGCTGTGACTTTTCTAATATGATGGAGAGTGGCTTGGCAGCTACATCAGCCAATTCCCTCAGAACCCTGGGATGGATGTCATCAGGCCCCATAGACTTGTAGCTGTTCAGCTGCATCAGGAGATCCTGAATCTGCTCTTTGCTTACAGTGGGAGGGACTCTGCTCCCCCAGCCCCCGCCTAGAAGTTCAGGGACTTGAGGGATGTGGGAAGCCTGACTGCCAGTGAAGTCTGAGGCAAAGAAGTTGTTAAGTACCTCATCCTTCTCCATTTCTGTTGTTACCAGTCCTCCATCTACATTTTTCAGAGGTGGTACACTCTTTTTGAATTTAAAATGTGTGATTGTTTAGACCATCCTTATAAATTCTGTAAGAACTGTTGCTTTATGTAGTGTTGCGTTTTTTTTCAACTTCATTTCTAAGGAAATATTAGATAATCAGGAAGCTAATTATCATAAGTTTCTGTTGTCATCAAATCAATTAAAGTAGCACTGTATATTTCATTTAATTGAATCCAAGTTTTGATTTTTTTTTATAAGCAACCACTAATCCAATGTCTCTTGGATGAGTTCTTCTTATCTGTTTTTTCTAGCAGACTATTGTTAAAATAATATGGATGCTTTCTCCCAATAGCATCAGAGACTTCTTGACATTTTGGAAGCAGAGAAGGAAGTCTTATCAGAAAAGATAGAAGAAGCTTTGATGCAACAGTCACAAAAACATAAGGTACTGCTTTTATTTGCAAAAAAAGGAATCTGGTCTGCTCTGTAGAATTTCTGTGGAATGATCCTGCCACAGTTATTGACAGGAAAAGAAAGGTTTCTCAAGCAATAGACCGAAATGATTTTTAGCCACTCCTCTATTGTGTTCTGCAGTTTAACTTTTCATAATATTCACAGGAAGTGCTGGACAAATGTTTGGATGAAGAAAGAGAAAGAAGTAAGGAAACTGTGGCAGCTGCTATGCAGGTATCTCTTGTTAAGTAGTAAATGTTCATTTTGAATTACATGTGTGTCATGAATGCCAAGTTCAGTACGTCATCTCATAGCCAAATTTGTCAAATGTTATGTTCTCACAGAATCACAGAATCACAGAATTTCTAGGTTGGAAGAGACCTCAAGATCATCGAGTCCAACCTCTAACCTAACATTAATAGTCCCCACTAAACCATATCCCTAAGCTCTACATCTAAATGTCTTTTGAAGACTTCCAGGGATGGTGACTCCACCACCTCCCTGGGCAGCCTGTTCCAATGCCTCACAACCCTGTCAGTAAAGAAGCTCTTCCTAACATCTAACCTAAAACTCCCCTGGCGCAACTTTAGCCCATTCCCCCTCGTCCTGTCACCAGGCACGTGGTTTAAATGAAAGTCTAGATCTAGAAAGGATTAATACATCTGCTGTATCTTACGCTTCATAGAGATAGTCTATGTAGCCTACTTTCTTCTATTTACGTTAGCCTCTGAATTTATTTATTACAAGTCAGAAGGTTGCAATTCAGTTGTTCATGTTACCTAAATGTCTGTTTTCATGGTCTTTCAATTAACAACATCAATATCTTTTCATTTGAAGAGACAGGTGGAAAGGTCAATTGATGATCTTAAGACAGTTAGCATTGTGCCTTATTTTACTTCTGTTAAATATGGTGATTTTCAATGAGGATAGATATTTGAAATCACCTGGAAATATGAACATTTCAAGAAACTATGTTTAATTTCTAATGCGGGTATAAAATCCAGTGTAAAATTTCAGTTGTTTGTAATGATCTGGGAAAATGAGCAATGTAGCTAGCACAGTTAGGCTATAGTAGAATGTCATGTGTATCTTCATATATGGTATACACACGCTGTCTGAGCACCTCTCTGAATAACACTCAGTAACACAGAAACCATATGTTAGGTGATTGATATCTAGGGGAAAAATGTGTGTGTAATAAAATATCTTAATAGGGCCTTTTTATTTTTGCTTACATTTTTATTATATGTTATAAATGTCAAATAAAAAAAAAAAAGATTCCAATGAACTACAAGAAACCATTTTATTAGTAAGTGTAGGTATTTGAGGAACCCAATATTTATTGCTATTTATAACTTTACTTGAGCAGTTCCAAGATTACCACCGAAGGACATTGCACTGACCTATAAGCTCATTAAAATGTGGAAGGGGGTTTTCAGCCAATGTTTGTTTTGAAATTCAGGCTGATGTTATTTGTAGATGTTATGCAATGATGTATAGTCTTTCTGATAAATATATTTGTGAATGGTTCAGCACATATAGAGCAGTGCATTGTCCTTGTTACTTCAAATTCAGTGTGTTTCTTCTGAAGATTTCATGTGATGTTTGAATATAGACATTGGAAAAAAAAAATGAAGAGTGTTTTTTAGCTTAAGTAGCTAAGGAGCTTTGGGATGGAAGACATAGTTAAGTATGTTTTGGATACTTTGACAAAGACAGTGTTCAGGCTGCCTTTGGACTTATTGTTAAATACTTGGAGATAAGAGCCTCCTGTATGAGGTCCATGATGTGTGATTAAATATCACCTACACTAACATGGTTTCTGCACCATGATTTTTGTGTTCACATTAATCAAGCTAATTATGATACAGTGTATTCACTAGGTGGGGATTTAAGATCTGTGCTTGCAGCTCTTTAATTCCGTTAACTGCCAAGTCGTTGTCCAGTGGTAATACCTGCTTAGTAGCACTGTAAAATAGATTTAAGTTCATAGTTTAGAAGTAGAAATATTTGTCTTATGTCTTGCCAACTGATTAATCTCACTAGAAGAAGTAATACATACAAGTTTTGCACCCATGTTGTCTATTTTCATCATTTATTTCTGCTTCTTTTGGAGACTGAAAAAAAAATAGTGGAGGAGGCTGTTCTGAAAGCAGTAGAGGAGGAAAGGAGAAATATGGAGAAGATTCATGAAGAAGAAAGAAAAATGTGGGAAGCAGAACGTGACAGACATAAAGAGAAAATTGCCCAGGCTGTTCAAGAAGCAATACAAGAGCAAAGAAAACATAATCAAGTTAGTACATTTTGGACCTGCTCAGTGTGCTTAATGTCTTTGTAATGTTGTGGTAGTATTTCTTGATATGTTATTTATCACTGCACCTTTGTGATATTTGAAATGAACTGCAGTCTTCTTGGTTTACCTTAATCTAGACTGTGTACGGACAGATTTTGGCACATTCAGAAAATTAACTCCTGTGACCTTTTCAGGCATGTGTATTGAAATGAGATGAATTGTGCACTGTAACTGCCTGTTTTTCATCAATGGCTTCAAAAAGTCAAATCAAGACAACTAGCTCAGATATTGGCACCTACATTGTAGATGGTTTATGTGACTATTGTATATATATTGAAAAGAAGTTACGTCTATTCCTTATTATCATGGAATTCCATTGTCTCTCTTAGAAAAAGATGTTTTCCTTAGACAAAAATTGAGCAGGTACAAAATAAAGAGGGTTATCAAAATTGGAAACATAAAACATTAACAAGACACAAGTGTTTCTAGAGTTATTCCTTAGAGAGATGCTACTATAAGGACAATTGTGTATCACAACACAAATTAAGAAAGACGTTCCCTCTCAATTGCCAGTATTGTATTTAACTGGACATCAGGAGTTACAAATTAAGTATATTACAATAGCAGCTAAATTACTCTTCCAAAAGTTAATTTTGTAGTCTCTGCTGTTGGAAATTTTTTTGGGGGAACAGTCTGTTTTGTTGGTGGCCTACTTGTTGAAAATTCTTCAGACATATTGAAGATATTGAAACATATTGAAGATATGTTTCATCCAGATGTTAGAATTATACGTTGCTGTATTTTTTAATTAACAAGGTCTCCTGAATAACAACAACAACAACAACTAGTTTTGAATTTGAAGTAAACAGAAGTAAAATAGCATATCATACTCTTTGGAAACAGATCCCTTTCCAGCATTTAACAGAACTTTACATTTCCTTTTCAAGTATTTAACAGAAATTTACATCTCAAACCTAACTAAATTCAGCAAGTTATCTTTTGGTGCAAAGCCATTATTATACTCTGCATCTGTATTGCTTACATTTCTAGAGTAAATAAAATGATTTTACTTTGTATGTAGTTTTTTGCATGTAAGGTTATCAACAGATAAGATGTCAGTTTTCAATGTAGTAATTTTGCTATAATAATAATTGTTCAAGCACTCAAGCTCTTTACAACAAAAAAGATAAGCAGGTGACTTCAAAGCTAAATTTAAACTAAGAAATATTGCTCATGGTTTTGTTACAATAGGAATCATTTAGACTAACCAGAATAAGAATTGTTTACAGTGGTGTGGAGGAGCTGTTAACAAAAAGTCTCCCTTATGAGCAATAAAGTAGTTGTGTACTACACTAAAGAAAAAGACTGCAGTTTTATAGCATGTGGAACTTGAAGAGATTAATAGGAGGAGGAATTAACAATGTGCTATTAATTTCATGTGCTGTTTAGTGATGTCCCTCAGGCAGATAGTTCTGTGTCCTGTAATTTACTGTGGAAATCTGTGTGCCTTGAACAAAACCCACTGTCTGTAGAATAAGAAGTTTAAGAAGAGTTCTGAGGCATCCTGAGCATTTTTGGGTGAAGGGGTCCCATGACAGGTTCTGTGAGGTCAGCCAAGGATCTATTTTTATGGATTTGGGGAGCATGTAAAATGTCTTGAGGATGGGAGAGTGGAAGAATAAGTTAATGTAGTGACTCAGGCTAGGTTTATGTTCCTTGTGGAATATTTTCCTGGACTTTCTTCTTATTTTTGATATGTCTTTAAAGTTTGATAACAGGGCAGGATAATGTTAGTAATTTAGTATGGATTAATGCATTCTTTCAGATAAAATCATAAGTATACTCTGATATCACTGCTATTCTGAGGAAGAAATCCAGGCCTACAAGAGGGCATTTTTTGTTCAGATTAGGATGCTAGCTGATCAAATGATTGATGGTATTGGAGTATTGGAGTGTAATGTTCTTATTATGATGCTGAGTTACTGGAGAATGTTGTGATTAATTCTCCTTTACTAAATATCTTGCTCCTGATGTGGCATTAATTAATTCATTTTTTTAATACTGAGTAGCTCTGACAACTTTGATAGTAACAGGAATGATTTCTCTTAGCTACAATATATGATGATTTCTCCTTTAAATTAGGTTCATTTTTCAAGTACCTGATCTGAATACATTCACTTAAGTAAAATGCAGATTTTTCTTGAGATTTCCAAAGTTCTCTCATATAAAAATATAGTGTGTTTGAAGTTAATCTCTTTAATCTCTGATTAATGAGTGCAAGTTCTTTAGGGAGGATGGTCTTTCACATAGAATGTTGTTTCTTACAATTTTTTTCTTGTTACCTCTGCCAAGAAATGGCTTGCCTTCTTCTGTTGTTACTCTTATAAACATACTACAGCTACTAGAGTTCTGTAAATCTGACAACAAATGTCCTACAGAGCTAATGTGAAAGATCCTAAGGTGTTGGATGTGTCTTTGGTTTAGTGCTGAAAAACACTTGGAACTACAGACAAGCAGTTTGTCTGCTTACATTTTATTTTTAAGCCTTGTACTCAACATATTTACACTTTTTCCTTAAGAGTTTTCTTTCAAGAGGTATAACTGAACTATTCACTGTCTCGCAATTATTGTTTAAAAAACATAATCTGTCAAGTCAGCTCTGTAATTGCCAAAAGTAAAACACAGTCTAACATTTTGGACAATGAAATGTAAAATTGCGGTAACATAACACTTGCCTCATTTGATTTTTCATGCTCTGTTGTATAATATTTTGTGCTTCCTGCTTCAGATTTGTCACCAGATACTATTATTATGTTTAGTACCAAGTAATGAAACAATTGAGTTTAGATGAATGTAAGTGAACATTCAACAATCTCTCCTTTTGGTATTAAGCATGTAAAAATAGCTTTAGGAGCATTATTGTTATTTCAAGAAAAAAAATGTTTTCTCACCAATGCATGAGTTTGGAACTTTGGAGAAATCAAGCAAGGAAAGAGAAGCCTGACTTGTTTTTAACAAAACTATCTCCTCTTAGTTTATCTTCTTTCAAATTATCACCAAAGGAAAGAATCTATGGGTGAGAAAGAAAAGATATATTTATATTTACAAGTCTGTCTTTCTTTTTTTTTCTCTCTCTCTCTTTTTTTTTTTTTTTTCCTAGAATAGAAAAGTTTTTTTTCTAGAATACTGTCTCCAGAGGCTGTAAGGGAAGTCCGTAAACCTGATTCCTTTCAGTTGAGTTTGGCAGCACCTGCAGGTTTTATACATGTGTTATCCAGGTGCTTATTGCTTTTAGAAAAAATACCTTATTTTTATTCCGACAATGGTCCTCAGGTTTGAGGAGGGTGGGATTACATTTTTAATTGGGCATAATAAGCTTTCATTCTTGAGAGAAGCAAGTAGTCTTTTAATTAAAGATAACATGCATTTGCACGGTTACTTCATGATCCTTTTACAGCACATTATAAATTATTACAGGTGAGAAGTTCATATGTTTAGCAGACTAAATGTAGGCTGGAATGTCTTCAGTATTTTTATTCTATTTTTGATACATTGTATGTTCTTTTTGTTGGTTGGTTGGTTGGTTTGGTGGTGTTTTTGTTTGTTTGTTTTCCCACTGGTAACTTCCCTGCAGGGAAGGTTTAATATATATAGTTGTTCTCTGTGTCAAGAGGAATGCTTGAAATAGAAAATTCTCCCACTAGAATATATTATCTAGAATACTTTTTTTTTTTTGAATAAAACAGTGGTTGCCCTGTAGATAAAGAGAATCTATAAATTTGATTGAAGCTGAAGCTTTTCCTATAGAATTTAAAATTGCAAGGAAGCTCCAAGTGAAAGAGACAATGATCAAAGATTATTTGGAAAAAAAAAAAGCCAAAAATTCTTTGGGAATATGAGAAGATCAATACAAATTTCAATGAAGTAGGAAGGCCATATATATTCAATTTATAATTAGGGGTTAATGCAGAGTAGCTATAACAGTAGCTACAGTAGCCATAACACTACCTTGCAGAGAGCTGTCTGTAGCTTTCTGTATAGTAGTGCTAAAATTTCACAGAGCTAAGTATTTAATTACATAAATGGGGTGAAATCTTGAAGAAAAAAAAGTTAAGATGTTAAAGACAATTTATGCATCACAATTTTGGTCTTAAAAAAAATCATTAAAAGTGAAATAAAAGCTAGGAGCTGAGGGGTGAGCCTTGGATTTTCAACTCCATGACATAGCTTGAAACTAATAACTCTCCAAAAAGCACTCAAAACAAAGAATCACCTTGGTCATTTCCTGAAGGCTTATACTTAAAATGTTATGTATAATCTACTGCAGTTTACACTGATTCTCAAGGGAAAACAAGCCTGAATTCATCATTTCCATAATCCATGCAGGAGATATACAATAGACTAACGTGTTTTGAAGACTGCAAATAATTAGAAAGGAGGAAAAAAAAAAACAAACTTTATTAAAGGAAGTAACATAAAATCTGCTTCCTCTTGGACATGAGCAAAAGCACTAAGGCAAAATGATCTTACTAGTGGGGAAGTATTTCAAGAAAACTTAGACTGTAGTTTCGTTCAGCCAAGCCACAACTGAGATATACCGAGATATACAAAGAAAAAATACTTTTGTATGAAACTAAAAAGTTTGAGAAAAAAAAAGAGAAAAAGCTCCCAGTAGTCTTTTCTGAGCAAGTCTTCAAACATTCAACTCACACTCCTGAGGGTTTCTGTGTTGTTGTTCCATGCAACACTATAATTTCTATGTTATTGTCTTAGAAAGTCTAATATAATTTTACTGGCAAACATCCAAATACCTGAAAAAGCTTGATTAGTTGAAAATTATTTTGTACTCTATGGACTTTAAAGTATGTTTAAGGTTTTTCCATGAGGTTATGAGTACTAGTATAATGTCATTTCTCAGAAGGTAAAAACAGAAAATCTAGAACACACAGTGCTTAATTCTGAAAAATTAATGGCTGCTTACCTGCTACATTATTAAAACTTTGTTTGGTATTCATGCTCATGTGCTTAAGGGAGTGCTTCTGTTAATAGTTTTGGCAAGTCTGAATCAATTTTGTATTGAATGTCTTAGGGATTTCCACACAGTCATATGTAAGTGAAAACATGAAAGTGCTGGCTCTATGATTAAAGAACAGGCTTTCTTTTCTACAATTGGATTGTATTGGTTTCATCCTGATGGGCAGCTAAACTTCATCACACCACTCTCTCACTCCTCCTCCTCAAAGGAAGAGGGAGAGAAAATATGATGGACAAGGGCTCACAGGTTGAGATAAGGACAGGGAAGTCATTCACCAATTACCATCAATATACTGGTAAAGTCTGGAAAAGTCCGCTGCATGCTGACTTTAACCATGTCTGACTTCAGAAGTGCTTTCTAATAGTTATAACCACAAACATTATAATTTGAGGGTAACTATTTTCTGAAAAACCACTAACGTTGCAGTCTGTGGTCATATTTCCTAGATAAAATTTAGTACTGCCACCTGATCCTTGTGTGGAAACAAAAGAATTTTCCTATAAAATTGCAAACCATTATATGTTTTCTGTTTGTTTTTTTTTTTTTTTGTAATACTGACTGAGTGCTGGTATATAAAGTACACTGTTTCTTTCTGTCTTCCTGCAAATATATGTTTATATTCTAGTTATGTGATTGTGATTCCTAACATATGTTTGAATGTGATTTGTCAATTAAGTAATAGAGTATTTTTAAAATTTTTATTAGTTACTCTAATCTTCTAACTGACGTCAAGCATGTGTATATGAAAAGTCTTGTAAAGAAGCTACTTTTAGCTATAATTAAGAATGAGGCCTTTGATCAGATATCAAAAAAAAAAAAAAAGAAGTGCAGTTTGTGGAGTGGTCACCCTCAGCTTCTCCTGAGAAGCCAGTCTTTTACTTTCCCTTGAATAAATTAAAATAATATTTAAAACCTCAAATAGTGCTATACCCTTTTTAGCTGAAGGTGAAATAGGGGCAAATTTTTACCATTGCAACAAAAATCTAATTTAGGAAAAAGTTTAAATGTGGATATAGTATAACAGGAAAAAGCAAAAAAAAATAAAAATAAAGGAAAATTAAGCATGTACACTGAGAGGATTCAGGATTATGAACTTCTGGATGCTGGGAATATATAAAGAACAATGATGGACTTGTCTGAATTCTTGTCTTTCGCTTTTTGGAATTTTTAGGGAAGCAAAGAGGATCCTTTATATCAACACCACATTGGGCATGAGTGTTGATCTGCTTGAGGTAGGAAGTCTCTACAAAGGGATTTGGATAGGCTGGACTGATGGGCCAAGGGCAAAAGTATGAGGTTCAACAAAGTGCTGGGTCCTGCACTTGGCGCACAACAACCCTATGCAATACTACAGGCTGGTGGAAGAGTGACTTGAAAGCTGTCTGGCAAACAGGGACCTGGGGGTATTTGTCAATAGCTGGCTGAACATGAGCCATCAGCACACCCAGATGGCCAAGAAGGCCAACCATCCTGGCTTGTATCAGAAATAGCATGGCCAACAGGACTAGAGAATGATTGTCCCCCTGTACTCAGCTCTCGTGAGGCTGCAACTCAAATACTGTGTTCAGTTTGGAACCCCTCACTGCAAGAGGTGCTGGAGCGTGACCAAAGAAGGGCAACAAAGCTGGTGAATGGTCTAGGAAACCATGTGTTATGAGGAGTGGCTGATGGAGCTGGGGTTGTTTATCATAGAGAAAAGAAGTCTCAGGGATACCTTATCACCCTCTACAATTACCTTAAAGGGGCCTATAGCGAGGTGAGGGTTAGTCTCTTCTCCCAAACACCAACTGATAAGATGAGGAAACAGTCTCAAGTTACTCCAGGAGAGGTTTAGGTTGGATATTAGGAAAAAATTGTTTACTGAAAGGGTTGTGAAGTATTGGAACAGGTTGCCCAGAGAAGTGTTTGAGTCACCATCCCTGGAGGTCTTCAAAGATGTGTAGATATAGAGCTTAGGGACATGGTTTAATGGTGGACTTGACAGTGCTAGGTTAAAAGTTGGACTAGGTAAGTGTATATGATGTTAAAAAATAATATTTTGTATCACCTTTTTTCTCTTGAATTAAGTCTTGATAATGAGTAAAGACTAGCATAATTATGGTATGCTTTGTTTATTGCCTCAACAGGCAATACAACTTTGCTTTCACTTTTATACATAATTTCGTAGACATCAGAGGTTGTTCTTAATTTTTGGAAATTGTCACTGTAAATGGAAAACAATTATTTACATTGTTTTAATATTTTAATATTGTAATAGAATAATCTTTCACAAATGTATCTCTAGTGGTTTCTGTTCTCTTGAGATTTCTTCTTTTAGTAGACTTTATTTTAAAAGAACTTAATTGTATTTTTATTTGGACCTTCATTCAAATATTGTTTTATTTTTAAGTTGCAAGTAGCCTGATATTAAGGAAAGTTAACATACATTTATTATTTGTTAACATACTTGTTTTGTTTGTCCTACATTTACTAATGTAGGACTTTCTGCATAATAATGCATAACACCTTATCAGATCTCTAATTTGCCTTTGAGTTTAATGGAGTAAATGACTGCATTAGTCTACATTATAATATGAAACAAAGTCTTTTGAGACCTTTTGACAAATTAAGCCGCCATGAGAATATAAGAACAGAATATTTCTATAATGTGTAACTTTCTGCTACTTTTTTTTCTGTGAGTCATGCCAGAGTTCCTTAGTGAAGGAGACCCTTGTCCCAGGATTTTTCTTTGGTAAAGTGAATTAAAATATATAAATAAAAAGATGATAATCTTAATCTTTCACAATTATGATTTTCAACATTTATGTTTCTGAACAGTGAGGGCTATATAGCTGCACAGCTCAAATTTGGGATTTTAGACTTTTATATGCAAGAAAAATATAGTTCTGCAGGTACAATTCAGTTTGGTTTAAAAGGAGTAAAAGGATAAATATCTTATACCTCTAAAACCTTAGCATTCCACCTGTTCTTCCAAGTGAATCTTTTCAATACCATTGAGTTCCTGCAAAAATATTTTCTGTGAAGAACTGTAAAACACCAAGAATGTGTAAGATAGCATTCTGAGATTTTGTATTTAAAGAAGGTGTCACTGCAGTTTGACAAATGTTTCTTAAACCCGTAAAGTAAACAAAGCAATAAAATGCTTGTCATGTGAGCTCTCAAACATTTGTAAAGTTATGTATTTCTCCTTATTTTACCATTATCCCTGTATAAATAAGTATTGTGTTTTAACTGAATACTTTAAATTGAATACTGTAAGTTTTGCAGCAAAGTATTTCTTTCCTTCTGAACCAGACAACATATGTACAAGGTAGACTTAGTCCTTCTGACATAGGAGCTTGAATGCCTGTTGATAATTAAATCTAAAAAATAAATTAATCCATCATTGATTTTTATGTTTTTATTGAAGTGATGCAAAATGTGGGTGGGTTGTGTTTTGTTTGTTTTTACCTGTTTTTAGTTTTGCTTTCTGTGTACAAACTGTGTTGCTTAGTAAACATTATTCTGATAGAAGATTTAGTTGATACTGGACCATATCTGATATGAATTGAGGATATGAATTGTGGTCTGTAGAAGAAAAAATGTGATAACCTTATAATTTCTATGAGTATTTGAAACAGGTTTCAATTTTTTTTCACTTCTGTATTTTTTAAGGACTAGAACTTCTTTCAAAAAAAAAAAAAAAGCAACTATAGTAATTTTTCTGAATAGCTATATTGTTATGTTTCTCTTCTATAAAAATAAATATATAAATTCCATCCTATTAAATTTTGATGGCAGCTTACTATTTATTCACTATCAGTGAATGCAGTAAGAAAGCTTAAGTCTGCTGATACGTAGCGGAAGTACATCACATCCCTGCTTCATTTTGCAGGTGCACTGATAGTATTTCTGCTACATCCACTTTTGAATGTCTAGTGTAAAAGCATAGGAATTACAAATGCATCACAAATGGCTTCTGAGAAGTGAAAATTGCATCAATCAAACAAGTGAACTCTAACTACCTGTTCCCAAGGCCCTATCTTAGATAAGAAATTTCAGCTGAGGTCCACTATTTATTCAATCTATTATTCTGTATCCACACTTTCAAAGATAATGTACAGTGAATCCTGTGATTTTTCTGATTAGTCTTAAATAAATAAATAATCCTCTCTTTTCCCTTTTTCCTTTCCTCTCTCTCTTTCCTCATCCAAATAGTTTTAATACATACTGTGTCATTATTTTTACTGGATGTTGTCTAATTTTCTTATGATATTAACCTTTTGTATGTTTCAGGAATTTTGTTTGTCATCTCATGTTCCTGAATTTTGAAAACAAAACTCTTGGCTAAACATTGTTGTTACTTCTTTCATGAATGACTTTGGGATGCTGGGACTTAATCTTTAGGACAGTGAGTTTAGTCCAGGAAAATTTTTCCTTAGCTGATAACTTATGCAAATAAGTTGTATTGGAGGTGATATATGTGTTTTAAGTTGTTCCTGGCTTTCTCTATTTTACTGTACTTCTAGTACTCAATCAGAATTGATTTAGTGTCATATTAATTTGGGGCAGGGAAGTAACTATTATAGTTTAAAAAAAAAAAAAAAGTAATGATAAACTTCCAGTAGGAAAGAAAAGGATGAACTGAATTATATTTGTGAAATACTTGTAATATTTACACTTAACATGTTTTCCTTTTACAAAGGAAATTGTCAAGGAAGCATTAATGGAGGAGCAAAAACGAAGTGAAAAGGCAATCGAAGAAGCTGTGAAAAGGACAAGGGAGGAACTGCTGGAATATATTAAAGAGCAGAAAAGGGTAAGTTACCAGTGGCTAAAGGGTTTTATTTCCTGAAGTGAGAAATGGATGAAGTTTATTAATCCTGAAGCCTGTCTTGAAATGCACAGAAAAAAGAAGTTTTATCTTCAGATTTTTCACTACTTTTTTCAAACAACTTCTGTTAGTATAATAAAGTTCTTCATGAATATTTGTAGACTTCTAAGTTAATGACAAATCAAAAAGCAGAAATGAATGAAACAGTTGAAATCTTATTACAGTAATTTAAAGATGGGGTTGTAAATGCAGTCTGTCAAATTCAAGTTGTGATCAGAGGTCAGTATCAATAACATGCTGTTTTATGTTCACAGATAAGCTTCATTTTGCAGTTTGTATGCAAACAAAGGTTAACTTTTCCTCTTTACCCATACTATATGAGGGCCTGAAAATATATGATATTCAGTGGGGAAGGATTTATATCCAGTACATTGGTCTTATTAAAAAATACAGTGTTCTGAAATGGTTTCAGCTATGTTAATGATGTATACTTGCAGACTAATGTTTGTATATAAGCAATCAATTGTAACTTTATAAACTTGATTCACTTCCAGGAGAATAAAATAAATAAATATATTAACACACTCCTCCCCTTTGAGAATCTTTAAAAAATAATTATAATAATAAGGATTCTACATAAACAAAATTACTAATTGTGAATCTAATTGGTATCATTGTCCTCAGAATGAGGTAGTGTCTTTGGTCTGTTATATTCATTGCTATTATGGGCTGAATAATATTGTGGAAAATAGTATTTAACTTCAGAAGTTTCACTCTACTGGTAGTTCAAGATGTTGGTTGAGTTCTCTTCTTCTCTTATTGTGGGTGGAGAGTTTACATTTAGCAGCGTGGGTTTTTCATGGGAAAGACATTTAAACAGATGTCCAGGGGAAAACACTGTCCGTAATGAGTTTGTTTATATGTTAAGTTAGTCATTTACAGAGGATGAGCTTTGGGGAAAGTGAAAATTCATCTCATATTAGAACAGCTAGTACAATAAATAACTTAGTTAATAGGACCAGTATTGCAACTCAACTAGTCTGTGTAGTGCAGAGTCCTATGTCTATGTCCTAAGTCCTATGAGGAGTGGCTGAGGGAACTGGGGTTGTTTAGTCTGGAGAAGAGGAGGCTCAGGGAGACCTTACTGCTCTCTACAATCACCCGAAAGGAAGGTGTGGGGAGCTGGGGGTCGGCCTCTTCTCACAGGTAACTAGTGATAGGACTACAGGGAATGGCCTCAAGTTGTGTCAGGGGAGGTTCAGATTGGAAATTTGGAGAAATTCTCAGAAAGAGTAGTCAGGCATTGGAATGGGTTGCCCAGGGGGGTGGTGGCATCCCTGGGGATGTTCAAGCAAAAGTTGGATGTGGTTTTGGGGACATGGTTTAGTGGGTGACATTGGTGGTAGGGGGATGGTTGGACTGGACCAGATAATTGTGGAGGTGTTTTCCAACCTTAATGATTCTATGTTTCTCTTCACTGTTGATATATAGATCACACAATTTTGAATTGACGGTGAGATTGTCTAGATTTCCCAATTCAGATTATTTCAGCTGTATCTGGGAGAAAAATAAATGGGATTTTGATTAAAATAAACCTATGTGTTGTTTGAAATAACAAAAGAAAAAGTCTTCAGTTGCTTGCTGCAGAGTTTCTGTAAATTTTCCTTTGTATATAAGTGGACTTGTACATCATTTATTACTCCTTTGCAGGTACAGCATACCTTTATAATCTTGTTTATATTAAAAGTATGTGAGGTCAAAGCCTGGCAAAACAAACAAACAAACAAACTGAAAAAAAACCACTCCCCTTTTGCAGCTTCTGCTATTTCCTCGGGTCCTGTCGCTGTCCCCAGACAGCAGAGCTCAGCGCCTGCCCCTCCGCTCCCCTCATGAGGGAGCTGCAGGCCGCCATGAGGCCTCCCCTCAGTCTGCTCTGCTCTGGGCTGAACAAACCAAAGGACTTCAGCTGCTCCTCATCCTTCCTGCTCTCTAGACCCTTCACCATCTTCATAGCCCTCCTTTGGAGACTCTAATAGTTTTATTTCGTTTTTATACTGTTGTGCCCAAAATCACACACAGTACTCAAATTGAGGCTGCACCATTGCAGTGTAGAGCGGGACAATCACTTCCCTTGACTGGCTGGCAATACTGTGTCTGATGCATCTCAGGATGCAGTTGAACCTCTTGGCTGCCAGGGCACACTGTTGACTCGTATTCAACTTGCTGTTCACCAAAACCCCCAGATCCCTTTCTGCAGGACCGCTGTCCAGCATCTCGTCCCCTGGTCTGTACATATAGCCAGGGTTGTCTCTTCCCAAGTGCAGAATCTGACACTTGCTCTTGTTAAACTTTATATTGTTGGTGATTGCCCAACAATTTGTCAAGATGTCTCTGCAAGACCTCTACACCTTTGATGGAGTCAACAGCTCCTCCCAGTTTGTCATCTGCAAACAGAAACACATTCAACATCCAAGTCATTTTTCTAGTTGTATGCTGGACATTTTGTCCAGAAGGATATTATGAGAAACAGTATCAAAGACTTTACAGAAATCCAAAATGATAACATCAACTGGCTTCCCTTGGTCAGCTAGATGGAATGGAAATTAGGTTTGCTAAGCAGCAGCTTTGCCTCATGAACTCATGTTGGCTGTGACCAATGACCTCATTGTTCTTCAGGTGTTTTTCAATAACTCCCACAATAATTTTCTCCATAATTTTACCAGGCACTGAAATGAGTCTGACAGGCCTGTAATTACCAGGGTCTTCTTTCTTTCCCTTCTTGAAAATTGGAATAATTTTTGCCAGCTTCCAGTCAGCTAGGACATCCCCAGATTCCAAAGACATTTGAAAAATAATTGAGAGCGGTTTTGCAATGACATCTGCCAGCTCCCTGAGTAACCTTGGATGAATCCCTTTGGAACCCATAGACTTACATGCATCCAGATGGTGACAAGTTTGGGATTGGCTGGGCTGGGAGTTTATTATTCACACAGTCACAGTTCTCCAACTCAGGGGATCTGGGGTCCCTGATCCTGTCACTGGTGTTATGAACTCGTGTATTTAAGTTCAGAATGGAAGATGTTTTTGACTCCAAATCATTAGGCACAATAGCTTATATAAAAGAGTAAAAAGAAAGAGACAGAGTAAATGGATCTTGATCAAAGCCCGTGTACCTGCCAGAGTACAAAATATACCTTGTGAACTATATTAAAAAGTATCAGCCTATGGAAGGAATTTCTAGAAAGGACTCAGGGAACACAACTTTCTTCCTAGGCTGAAATTTAAGTATTTTTATTTTTTTACTGAACGATGAGGAGAGTTTCAGTTGTGCTCTTGCAAAGGTAGCATACACATTGTACATTTCATCATTGTTTTGAAAACAAGTTTTCAGAATCCTTCAAACATGGCTACAATGATATTACATGCATAACCTGGTTAGCGGTGGTTAAGTGTTTAACAATTTATAAAAGTTAGATCTGTCAATCCCACAAGTTTTGCAGTAAATTATACATGTAGTCCAGTATTATACTAAACTATATGTAACAGTAAATATTTACTTAGTTTGGATCTTTGTGTTAGAAGGAATTGACTGTGAATGAATCTTTTTAAAAATAGATTGATAATTATTTGTTCATTCATGTCAACATAATATATATGTCAACATAACAAGGAAAACAAACTAGAAATCTCCTGATGCAGTTCCAGAACTGACCTGAGTTGTAGTCCAGCTATGCTACTTCTATAATAGTGGTTACTTTTGAAGGCCAAGACACCATATGATTTACAAGTTCGGAGATTTCACAAATCCAGCTTCTCAGCATCCAACGTACACTTTAACAGTCACTTAACATATAGTATGTATGTGTGGGATTCTTTGAAGTAGTAGTAAGTGACTTTAAAAAAAGTAAAAAAATGATATTCCTTTATTCTTACACAGTACTTTTCAACCCTTTTTTTTCCTGATCAGTATGCTTGTAACAGAAGTGTTTTAGAGTTGAGGAAATTAAATGTCCTAGGTTTCATAAAATTTCTGAGTGATTTAATGTCATATACATAAAATTTATTCATACCTATGGTGGATCTATGAAGACCCTAGTTCAAAAATGTTCACAGATTAACTCTGAATTATTTATCTAATTGGTTTTACACATAATGTTTGACACTGTTGTCCACAAATGAGGTACATTCCGTATCAGTGAAACAAAAGGTGACTTGTCTCTTTGACTGTATTTTCTCATGGGCAAATGAACAAGTGACAAGTGTCTGTGCGGGGGGAGGGTTATATGAAAAATGAGAGTTTGGAAGCGTAAAAGTTAGTTAGGAGGGGGAAATGGAAGCAACAATATCATCATGCTAAAATGCCTAAGATAAGAACAAATGTTATTTAATGTTATTGAATGCCAAAGTGTCTATATCAAGCGGAGAATGTCAGTAATTCTTCACCTCTCATTAAAGGACACTGCAGACTAAAACAAAACAAAAATAGAAAGGAAATTCTGAAGGCAACATATAGTTTGAGACAATAAATTAAAGATGGAGAATACATTGTCATTGTGCTTTTTTATACTTAAAATAAAATCCCAAGTTTTTAAACATATATGAACTATATTGACAATGGTTCAATTTATATAGTTCAGTCTTAGCTTTAGTTTCTTTATTGCATTTTCAATGAATATCATACTAGAAAAATGTTTTCTATGTCGCTACAAGTAACATATCAAGAATATGGATATCTAAGATGTGAAGGAATTTTCACAGGAATTTGTCCCTTTATTTTGCAATTACTTCATAACCACAATTATTCCCAAGTGTGCTTCAAACCTGAAATAAAGTAAGACAGACATATCTGTTGAAAGGTATCTTTGAAAGATACCAGACTTGTAGAGGTTTATATAAACCTTAACACCTTGAAGAACCCTTCTATGTCAAATTTGAACACACTTGCTACCGCTAATAGCCAGGCATGCTTTTTTCAGCAAAGGCAC